TGAGGAGGTTGGAGGGGTCTCGTGGAGGCCCTTCTCCAACACCAACCATCATGGGTCCACCTGGGTCAGGTTCCTCCTGGCTGTGTTCACACGAGGGTTGGGCATCTCCGAGGATGGAGACCCACCACGTACCTGAGTGTGCCCTTGTTTGGGACAGGGCAGGGAATCGGACCCCCCCACATCCACCCCCAAACCCAAACCAGACCCCACCCCAATCAACACCGGCGCATCTGGATGAGGTTCCTCACGGCTCCTCCCAGCGAGGTCTGAAAACCTCGAGGGATGGAGACCCACCACCCTGAGGGAAGGGTTTCGCCCTCCCACCCCACATGGGAGCCCCCCAGGAGGACATTTCTCACCCTCTGCTCCCACCCCGCAGGGCTGCCCAAGGCAGCGGTGATCACAGAGATGAAGCTGATGATGGTGGCCAACCTGGGTCGGCTCTGTGGCCTGCGGCCTGATGACGTCATCTACACAACATTGCCGCTCTACCACTCGGCCGGGCTGCTCATCGGGGTGGGAGGGTGCTTCGAGGTTGGTACGTACACCCATGCCCCACGTGGCCCGGTCAGCATAGGAAGGGGGTGCAGGCAAGGACAGGCAGAGAGAGGTGTTGGAGATGGATGGATGGATGGATGGATGGATGGATGGATGGATGGATGGATGGATGGAGAAATGGGTGGGGGAGGGAAGAGGAAAAAGAGAGAGAGGGAGCCAAGTCCATAGATGGGTGAGGGATGGATAGATGGATGGGTGGACATTTTAGATGGATGGACAGACAGATGACCAAAAAAAAAGTGTAGGGATGGAAAAGGAAAGAGTCAGATAAAAGAAGGAAAGGAGAAGGGTGTCTGTGTAGGTAATGGGTGACTGGTGGGGTGCATGGACAGGGCAGATACTCATGGAGATGGACAGATGGAAAAGACAGATGGAGAAAAGGGGAAAAAAAAAAAAGAGAGAAATGGGGAGGAGTAACCATCACCCTGCCGTGTCCCCACAGGAGCCACCTGCGTCCTACGGGCCAAGTTCTCTGCCTCCCAGTTCTGGGACGACTGCCGCCGCTACAACGTCTCCGTCATCCAGTACGTGGGTGAGCTGATGCGCTACCTCTGCAACACGCCCAAGGTAAGGTCCCCACCAGCCCGAAATCCACCCCAGGGAGGAAGGCGATGCCGTGGGGTGCACACGGAGACGGTCCCTCCTTTTGTCACCCCACAGCGTGTCAATGACCGGGAGCATGGGGTGCGCTTGGCCTTGGGCAACGGTCTGCGGGCAGAGGTGTGGAAGGAGTTCCTCCGGCGCTTCGGGCCCATCTCCATCTGGGAGTTTTACGGGGCCACCGAGGGCAATGCTGGCTTCATCAACTACACCGGCAAGATCGGGGCCGTGGGCAGAGCCAACGTGTTCCTCAAGGTGAGGCACCGGTGATGATGATGGTGTGGGGAACAAATGCTTACCGCCTTGGGGAGACCAATACTGCACCTCAAGTTGGGTTGATGCCAAAAGTGGGGGTCTCCAGGATACCCTCTTCACCGTGGTGCAAACAGTGACCTCCACGGGGAAGTCAACGCTGTCCATCAGGTTGAGTTGATACAAAAGCAGGATCTCCAAAAATCCTCTTCAAATCCAAAAGGAGTGTCCTCCACCTGGTTGGCCAACATTGACTCAACAATGTTGACTCCAAAGTTTAGTTTTGGAATGTCCATGGTGACCTGGACATCTCTATAGCCCTGAGAAAGGCCACCTCAGTGTCACTTTCTCAGTATCCAACCACCCACGTGTTGAGCTAAAGCTGCAAAAATGAGGTTTTCTCCACCCTTTTCCCACAGTTGCAGCACTCCGCATTCTCCCATGAGTCTTTGATTTGAAAGGTACCACGACGAGTTTGGTGAATGGTCAAATCTATTAGATGAAATCTTATTTAAATATAAAGGGCGATTAGCTCGGGTGGAAAACAAGCAGCTACCCAGGACACTGGGATTTGGTGGGGGCAGGGTGCGGTTGTAACGAACAAGTAACAGCAGATCGGACCTGGCACTGGAAGGAAAGTCTTCTCACTCGTTTTAATCCTGCGTTTCTCTTCCACCCACCAGTCTCTCTCTTTGTCCCTCTTCTGCCCTCCAGAGTTTCGCTCCGTTTGAGCTGATCAAGTACGACGTGGAGGAGGACAAACCCGTACGTGACGAGCGAGGTCTCTGCATCCGAGTCCACCCTGGTGAGAAGAGATGAGCCTTACGAGGGTCTTATTGGGAGGAAAGGGGGGGCAGACAGGGGCTTGAGATGCATCAAAGTCACCTCTTGGTCCCTACCACCATCATCTTGGTGTCTGGAAGCCATCAGAAACCCCTCAAAGGAACAGGAACGTCATCCCCAAGCACCCGGTGGGGCATGGAGGTGACATTCCCCAGTACTGAGGTACTTGCTGACCCAGCCTCCAACCCTCCTCTCCCTCCCCAAAGGTGAGACAGGGCTGCTGGTCATTAAAATCACCAAGAACACCCCTTTCCATGGCTACGCGGGTGATTCCCAGAAGACAGAAAGGAAAATCTTGAGGGACATCTTGGTGAAAGGCGACACCTTCTTCAATAGTGGTGACCTCCTCATGATCGATCATGAAAGATTCATCTACTTCCAGGACCGTGTGGGAGACACTTTCCGGTAACTCCAATGCTTTCGCATCCACGTCTGTGTGGGTGATGCCACCCGCCAGCCCAAATCACCACTCACAGCTTCATCCTTTCTCTTCTCTAGTTGGAAAGGTGAGAATGTGGCCACAACGGAGGTGGAGGCCACTCTTGCCATGGTGAACTTCATTCAGGAGGTCAACGTCTACGGAGTGTCCGTGCCGGGTGAGTACTGGGTGGTGCGGGTTGAGGGTGAGCCAGACCAAAATAAGCATCTCCTGATGTTTCAGCCGTGGGACGTGCCCCCAGATGCGGGCACCAAGACGCCTAAAGTAGAATAGAATGGAAGGAACCTACAACAACCATCTAGTCTCACTGCATGATCGTTTCGAGGCTGGCCAAGTAGGACTCATTGACCAAAGATAAGAGTCCAGTATTGTTTTGGGCTCATGATTACTGCCACAATGGTCCAAACAGCCACAAAGAGACCAAAACAGGACTGGGTTGCCCAAAAGCAGCATCTAATGTTGGCTGGGGCAAGTAACATGTTCACATAATGGTCCAGCTGACTACCAAGAAGGCTAAAGTAGGACTTACTGACCCAAAGTAAGTTTCTGGCATGGCTTTGGTACACAATGGGCTGTTGCAAAGGTCTGAGTGGCCACCAGGAAGGTAAAAGGGGGACTTGGCTGCCCAGCAAAGTGTCCAGTGTTGCTCTGGGCATGCAACATACCCCTGCTATGGTCCAAGTGGCCACCAAGAGAAGTAAAATGGGTCTCAGTTGCCCAAAAGCAGCATCTGGTGGTGTTTTGGGCAACTGACATGTCTCCATGATGGTCCACGTGGCCACCAGGAAGAGCAAAGGGTGACTCAGTTGCCCAGAGTAAGTGTCTGTTGTTCTGGGCACACAGTGTGCTCCTGTAATAGTCCAAGTGGCCACAAGGGAGGCTAAAATGGGAAATACTCACCCAAAATAAGCATCCAGCATGGTTTTGCGTACATGATGTGTCTCCATCATGGTCCCAGCGGCCTCCAAGAAGGCTGAACTAGGACACATCCACCCAAAATACGTGTCCAACGTTGCTCTGGGCATGCAACAGGTCCCCAAAATGGCCCAAGTGACCACCAAGAAGAATAAAATGAGACTTGTTTGCCCAAAATAACCCTCTTGTGTTGTCTGCAGGGTGTGAGGGGAGGTGCGGCATGGCGGCCATTCGCCTGAAGGCTGGGGCAAGCTTTGAGGGTGAGAACCTCTATGCCTTCACGAGGGACACACTGCCCAGCTACGCTGCACCCCGCTTCGTGCGGATCCAGGTCAGTGGTCCCAGCTTCACCCAGGTGTCAGGGTGGCTTCTGGGGATCGGTCCTCTGCCAAACGAGTCCTCTGGACGAAGGGCGATTCGGCAGCGCGGGCGCCAGCGCACATTTCCAACCCCTGTGCCGGTGTCCCCCCAGTTTCTGATGACAGTGCCAGGCATGGTGTTGGGGTCTCCCGCTACTGATTAACATTACCGTTACCGTGCCTGACCCCACAGCTGATGACAGTGCCAGGGTCACTGTGTTGTCGATGGCCCTGTCCATCCGTTTCTGGAGACGGTGGTGGTCACCCAGTATCAATGACAAGATCAGGGTCACCCTATGCTGATGACAGCATCAGTCCACCTTTCCGATGATGAACGGCCCTCCTTTCCTGTGACCGTGGTGGTCACCTTGCGCCAATGGCACCATACGTGTCCACTGAATCCCGATGACACCGCCTCTGCTCCTGTGCCAATGACACAGGAGTCACCGTTTCCAATGACGGCACCTGGTTCCCCCCACACCGATGACGGCATTCGTGCCCCGCGTTGCTGATGACAGCGCTGGGGTCCTCCATTTCCGATTACGGTGCCAGTCACCCTGCGCTGGTAACGGCATCCATCCCCCCCATTTATGATGACACTGTCCATCTCCACAGGATGCCCTAGAGATCACGGGGACCTTCAAGCAGTGCAAGAGCAACCTCGTCAAAGAAGGCTTTGACCCCAACATCATCAAAGACCCTCTCTTCTTCCGCGATGACAAGAAGAAGTCCTACGTGCCCCTGAATCCCGACACCTACGCTGCCATCCTGGACATGAAGCTCAACCTGTAGGAGGAGGAACCATGCCGTGCCAGGGTCTCCACAATGGCCTGGGGTGGTAATTGCCTCTGGGCGACTGACATGGTCAATTTGGGGCTAATCAGGCAGTTTTCGCTTCCTTCAGCGAGTTTCTAACGGTGTCAGAGCACGACAAGGGTGATGGGCTGGTCTCTGTGCTCGCTATCCCGCCCCACGCCATGCTGACTGTGGAAATTAAAGGCTTAATTCCAATTGTTTGGGTCCAGGTGGGTGCTGGGCCATCAAGGGCCACTTTCTGGGGATTGACCCACTTGTTTTCCCTTCTGGAGGGGGCAGATAGTGCCCACAATCCTCCCCGCTGCTGGGAAGGGAATATTTGCTCAGCGCTGGCCTCTTGCTTGCCTGCGGGGCCAGCCCTGGAAATGTATTAAACCCCAAAACACTCCCATATTCCCACCCAGGGCTCATTGAGCCGCTTTAGCCCACTGATCTGGAACAAAGCCGATTTGTTTCTCTCTGACCCAATTTTCTGCCCAATTAGTGACCTAAATCGTCTCGGAAAGGCAGCCCAGGCTCCCCCATAGATCTCAGACCCGCACGACGCGCACCAAGCCCCCAAAACACTGTCAGCTTCTTCCTGCCCTTCCCAAGCACCCGCTGAGCCAGTTTAACCGACACAAAAGGAACTTACTTCTCCCTGCAGTCGCTTTCTGCCAGATCGGTGAACAAAACCAGCTTGGGGACACTGTCTTGGCTTCCCCCTTCTCCCAGACGTGAGCCAGCCCCCTCAATTTTTCATAGAAAAGGTGAAATCTTTATTTACAAACCTTCCCAGCAGCACTGAGGCAGGGAAGAGGAGGAGAAGAGCTGGGTGTCCAGCAGGAAGCCTTCACTCTCCGCCGTCACCGAGCAGTTGCAGCTCCACCATCC